AAGCGTTAACACTTTCTCACCACGAGTTAAGGTGTCTATTGGGGTAGATTAGACACATTTGCTCTACATATGTAGAAGCTGATTTTTTTTTTTGCCTGGAGCTTCTGGTGCGTCACCAAAGACGTATGTGGCAGGGTATTGCCATAATGGAACACAATTCAGCCTCTGTTGATCAAACATGGTCTCTTCGGGATGTGTGCTGCCTTCAAGTTGTTGGCAGGCCGAATTGAGTGTTTGGCCATAGGAGAGCAACTCGTCGTAGATGATTCCATACCAATCTAACCAAACACACAGCAAAACCTTCCTGACCGTCAATCCGGTCTTGGCCACCGTCTGGGCCGCTTCCCCGAGCTTTGACCACGACCGTTTGCACTCGATGTTGTTGTAAGTGACCCATTTTTCATCGCCAGTCACAGTCCGCTTCGGAAACGGGTCGATTTTGCTGAGATTCGCAGTTTGAAATTCGGTCCATCAGGTTTCTTCGCGCTAGTTCGTGTGTTATGCAAATGGTTCCAAACGGTTTTCTACTTATCTTTAGTTCCTCAGCAATTAAATAAGTGCTCACGTGACCATCTGTTTCCACTATTTCCATGATGTTATCGCAATTTTCGACTACAGGCCTCCCGACGCATGGTGCGTCTTTGACATCGAAATTACCGGAACGGAACCTAGCAAACCGCTTCTGTACTACACGTTTGTTTACAGTATCGGACCCATAAACTAAATTAATTTGTTCAGCCGCGTTGGCTATTTTTTCGACTTGATCGAAGAAAAATGGTAAAATATAGCGAATTTTTTCTCTACTGGTGTCCATCTTTGATGAGCGCTCACAACCTACTGAGTCAATCAATCGAAAAACTGTCGAAGATAAACTTTTAACGCGAATAAATACGTTTTCAGCGACGTGTAGTATGACATGATGCGACACTATTATTGTGGATAATAACGCCATCTCTTAGATAAAAAACCGAACGAACTTTTTCTTACTTGACCTATATATATATGCTTACAACTAATTAAAAAAATGGAAACATTTGGCCATCTTACTATGTGGCGCAGAAGCGTGGACGATGTCAACAGCTGATTAGTCAGCTTTGGGAGTCTTCGAGAGAAAAGTTTTGTGAACGATTGATGGTCCTTTGCGCATTGGAAACGGCGAATACCTCAGACGACGGAATGATGAGCTGTACGAGCTATACGATGATATTGAATAGTTCAACGAATGAAGAGACAGCGGTCATGTCGTCCGAAGGCTTTGAAAATATTCGACGCAGTACCCGCTGAGGGAAGCAGAGGAAGAGGAAGAACTCCACTCCTATGGTAGGATCAGGTGGAGAGTGACCTGACTTCACTTTGTATTTCCGATTGGCGCTAAACAGCGAAAAGAAGAGATAAATGTCGCGCCATAATTGAATAAAGAATAAAAAGAAGAGTGGAGATCCTCCTTCAGAGGTATACAAGAGATTTTGCCATGATGAAAATAACTTCCGATCTGTTTAGGTAAGACGTTTGAGACACAAATACTATAAAAAAAAACGCTTGCTTAGCTTTAGATTGGACAATATTTTGGGCAAATCAATTTAAATTTGTTTTTTCTTTAAAATAAGTGGATTTAAATCATACAGAATAAATAAAGTTATTTTCGCCTCTGTAAGCCTTTTCCAAATTTAATCTACATTTATGGCACACGCAAGCTCAACATATTAAATATATCTATGCAGATTGAAATTGGTAGATTTGCGATTTTGCTGCTTTCGCAATTCCATTTCATTATTTGCCTCGTAATTTCACTGCATCATTAAACGTCTTTACTTTATGCGCTTATTTGTATATTCAAACGCATTCGGTGATAACTGCTAAAAGGTACTTTCACCCTTAGGGGTCATTACATGAGAATAGGGAAAAGCTACAAACATGATGCGAATAGTTGACTTGATTGTCAGACGAAAGCAGAAAAAACCACAAAAAAAACCTAAAAAAAAACTTACTTTAATACACAGGATGCCTTGAGATCACGAGCGAACGCATCCTAAGCACACACACACACACACACACTTACGGCCAATGCAATGAATTTCGTACATAAAATTTTATAGCGGTATTAGTAGTTATTCACTGCACACTGCATTGCGCCAAACACTCAGCACTGCACTTTGCAAAATTCTCGATAAATGCAGCTGAGATAAGAAAAGAAAGCTAGCCTCCTTGTGCAGCCCGAAAGCTATAGCATCAGTTCATCAAGTGAAGCGTTTAAAATTTTAGTCTTTATAAAGTCTCTTTCCAATACATACTCGTGCGTACATACATACATACATACATACATACATGTGTATGCTTGTACATAGAAACGTGCGAAAACTTGTCTTAGATGTATATATGTATATGTACATATAACCACTTAAAGATGTAGATATTTCATTTCTAGGTACAATACAATACATACATATATATATATGTATATACAAGTAGATGTGCCTCCTATCATGTATATAAAACCTCCAACCACAAGTTCAGCGCACACTAATATACTAAAAGTCTACTAAAGTTTATATCCACAGATACACACTTTTATACATATAAGTGTATATACATATAAGTGTATATACATATTGTATATATATTTATGTAAGAAAATGCGATAGTGTGTGCGCGTGTGTTAGTGTTGTATACGAAAACACGACAAGTCGTTGAATTCATTGAGAAAAATCAAGTCTTGAATTGTTGGCACTGAAGAGAAGCTTTACATAGAGCAAATCGTGTGATGGGTGGAACACCAACCGAATGACAACCGTTAACCACCATCATCAGTTCACTCTCAGCGTTGAATTCCACATAATGTATGTAGACGTAACTGTATGCGTACTCTGTGTACGTGTTGGTAAAGTAAAACCTCCTTAAACCGCACTGAAATTTTCTATTGCAAAAATTTTTAAAGGTCCTCATTTGCGTTTTTAAGAGAGGCACATAAAAAATAAAATATTAGAGATTTTTGGCCGAGTTTCTTCACCGATTTTTGCTTGTCATCATCTCAAAAACTCTGATAGATTTCTATTTTCATATCAAAAGAATGCACTGTACTTTGAAAACAGAGGGGCACGGGCTATGGTGTTGTAAAGTACGCGTACCATATCGTCCTAACAGCGATTGGGAAACATACCTAGACTCTTAGTCTTCTACTTCAAAGTACAAAAAACATTGCAGGAAAATGGTGTAAGGATAGCGGACTGGACATCAACTTAGCTAAAACGAGAATGGCTCTCTTCACCAGAAGAAATAAAATACTTGTGCTTAAACCTCTTCTTAAAAAAAGATGCTAATATCACTTTTTCTACTGAGGTTAGGTACCTCGGAAAGTTTTATAACGTCTACTGGATATACACAACGAAAATCAGTTCCATTTTTTTCTACGGCATCAGCGTTTGTTGGCCGAGAAGACACTAGAAACTGATCTAAACATTCTTAGACTAAATATCTATAGCAAAATTCAAAAGAGCTGTAAGGCAGTTAAACTGAATGTAACTCAGGCTTAGAGATACCAAAGTATAGGAGATAATATCTTTCCTTAAAATACCACAAAAGGCTCTTTACAACCTCTAAATTTTGTTTTGATAATCGATTTTAAAACAATGATCCCTGAGCAAATGAATGGAAAAATTTAAATTTTTACAGACGATACAAAACTCAGTGAGAGGATGGGATGAGCTCAACTTGAGAAAAAGATTACTGGACCACTGTAGCGTCTTCCAAGCAGAACTGACTGCAACCATGAAAGTCACCGAATGGCTGATTAAATCTACAACCACCAACAAATCTAGATATTACTAGCGACTCTGAAAGCCAAATTGCCATTAGATCTATTTAATGCAATTTTACCACTTCAAAAGACGTATTCAAATGTAGAAGAGCTCTCAAAGGATTCTACAGGAAAAGCAGGGCAAAAGTGATATGGGGATATGAACTTAGAAATAGATCGGACAACTGCGAGAGAAAGAACCAACTTCACGAATCAGAGCCAAGTGTTACGTGACAAAACAGATCTGGCCAGTACTGGACGCTAAAGGGTAAAAAAGTTAATTTTTTTTTTTGAGCAGCTCTCAATCAGTATCACTCGTGGAATAAAAACAGTACGTTGTTTTCCTGAAACTCAAATGACTTTTTCCGCAGCTGCAAGACGACTCCTTCACTAAGATAGGAGAGAGGGTCCTCAAAATGATCTCAAAATGGGTCATAACCCCTAAGCATGTTGACTACATTACTGTTGAAGCGTTCAGTAAAGCAAATATAGCAATACAATAACATTAACTATACAAAAGCTCATATTGTAATCTTCATTTCAGAAAACCCCTTACGCTGAGACTTAAGTGAGAACACCATTCCCATTCAGAAGGCCCGGAATGTCTCAATCAGGCGGTTAAGTCTTCTCACTTCACCGGTAGAGCTTTAGATTTGCCGAAAGCTTGTCAATTTTTTAAAAAAAAGGTACTACCATGATACTATAGCTGACGCCATTAATGGATGGCACAGATGAACTTTGCGTATACCATGTGCTCATTTACAGTCCTTAGTAAAATCTCTTAATTTTTCATTTCAAAAACTTTTAAAAATCGATTCCGATTGCGACTTTTCTCTGGGGTTTTCTACTGCAAACTCTAAAGACTTACTGCTCGTTCATCACTGTTTTGAAATATGTACAACGTACGAAGCTTTTAATAAGCTAAAGCTCAAAAAGCTCTAATCGTTAATGAAAACAAAATTCTTAGAAACATTTTAGAATACATTTTACTTTAGACTGGTGTTCGCTTTGCAGGCTTTTTACTGTATATACGGTTTGCATAGTTTGCTAAAAGCACCCCCTTTACGCTCACCTACAAACGTACACATGTACATATGTACGTGTATACAGCCCCACCAAGGTCTTCTACATACCAAACAAGAAGAAAAACCATAAAATGAAATAAAAATAAAAACAAAAAACAAAACACACTTTCACTTGTACTCACCCGTTGGTTGTTGTGTATTCACTGTTGAGTTTCGTGGCTTCACTTTGGAACACATGGAGAACATCTTTGGCAGCTTTGGTATGTCTACTTTCAGGCGTCGTTTCGTATCTTCGCTTATTATTGCTAAAGTCGCGCTTCTATTGAAGTCCGAGTAAAAGAGTAATTGAAAAAATTACCGTTGTTGACTTTAACGCACGCACAAACTTTTTGTTTTTTTTTTCTTTTGAAAAAAAATTTAATAAAAAACTTTTCAGCTTAAAAAATTTTGCATTTTATATATATTTTTATGTTCTTAAATTTTTATGCTTGATTTTTACTTCGTGCTTTTGGTGCAAAAAAAAATCTTTTTAAAATTTGAGTTCGATTTTTATTTATTTATTTTTTTTTTTTTAAATTTGGGGTTGATATTTTTTAGTTTATAAATTTTGCTTTAAAAACTTTTACAAATATGTTTTGTTACATACTTTCATTTGTTTGTATTTTTCAAAAATAACTTCTTTTTTTTTGGGCGCAAATGATGTCACGCTCAGCAAAACCACAACGACAAACGCGATGACTGTCGCTTCCTTGCTAACGCTGTTCGCGGGTAAGCGGGTGGGCGGGTGTTTGGTTGGCTACGCGTTAATATGAATTATTTTATGAAAAAATTCTACTTTTGTGTTACTTTTTCTCTTCAATTATGTCTTTTCGCTTTCGCTCGCATTCACTTTACGGATTTGCAACAACAATGCAGAACTTTGCGCGAATATCCGCAGCGCTTAATGAAGACTGATAATCAAAAACGCTCGTTTATCACTGAAATGTCAAAAATCGAAAAAAAAACCAGGAAGATGAGGAAATCACATCAAACGCAATAACACGAAAACAATGGAAACGCGCTTAATTGTTAAATGAATCGTCGTCGTGGTCGTGAAGCGTATTAGTTTCCTTTTAATTTTGTGGTCTCCAATTTTTTACTTTCTTCGCTATTTTGTTCTTTAAGCACACACTGGTGAATGCGTCTTCTAGGCAACTCCCTGATAGTAGTTAATTTCTTTACTTTTTATTTTTATTATTAGTTTTTATACCAATTTTAATATCTGTATTGTTGACTCTCGTTGACTTCCTTGCTTGCTTCTGTGTCCGCGTTATGAGCGCTCTTATCAGTCGATGATCGAGTTGTTAGTGGTCAACGCCAGCCTCAATCAGTTTTCAGTGGGTTGAGCGCGCTTTAGCTTAAGACAACAATTTACCACTGATTGCCTCGCCTGTTGGTTACAATTTTACTTCTTTGAAAGCGCAGCGGTCGAGCTCGCTTAGCACTATGGCGTCTGCTTACTGCTTTTGCTTTTAGTCCCAATGTTTTTCCACTATCCTTTCCAGCGTTACCTTCTTGTATGTTCCTGTCGCTGTGGCTGTCTCGCACTGAGTGTGGCACAAGCACGGTGACGCCTTTTCTGCAAGCTCTCTATTTGTACGTAGATACGTTTGTACGTATCACGTTCGTTTGTTCGTTCGTCCGTGCACTGGAGTGCTTGTTGTTGTGCCCTCTGTACTTCGTCTTTCTTGTTCTCGTTCTCGCTGTCGCCGATTAAAGGCTTTGTACTAACGCCGTTGCCGTTACTGTTGCCGTTGCTGTTGCTGTTGCTGTCGTCGACGTCGTAGTAGAAGCTAGTAGAAACGCTTCGTAACGATTATTACAGCGAGTTAAATATTTGTGGATAGTTGACTGAGGAAGGTCGTCGTCGTGGTCGTAGCAAGAGCTTGTAGCATAGTAACTTGGTAGCCACCACCAATAGACAACAAAAGCTGGCGACCTGAGATAGTGGAAAAATGCTAAATGTTTCTTTGATTTTAAGCAGCAAGTCACAGCTTGGTACTTTCAGGAACGACAAGTGGCAACTGCTGCTGTGATGACTCTGTGTGATCTGCTTGGTTGGTTTTAGGTGATGAAGTGGGAATTTGTAGAAAAGTTTTTAATTTGATATTCAACGCTGCGCTTTGTCCTTTCGCCTGTTCTGTTCAATAGACACACTTTGTTTGCAATTAAAAATTAATTACTTTTACTATTGTTGTTTTTGCATTTTTTGCTTGCTAAACGAAGTTAGAAATCCACCAAGCACACACACCCGCACACATGAACTCGTAGTACATATACATATGTATGTATGTATTTTTCTTTAACTTTCCCTAACGCATTTGAGGTAAAAGACGAGAAAAATGAAAAAAAAATCCGCAACAACAACAACTTTATGTAGACTTTTTAGTGAGACATAAGCGGGCAGACGTCCAGACATACAAAGACAAACAAACAGACAACCAAACGGACGCACGTTTCAAATTTCTTCTTCTGTCTATCGATGTCGGGCGCAACGAACACGTTAGAGACTCGCCGCTGTACACACGTACTGTCGAAACTCAACTGACAGCAAGCAAACAGAAACAGCAGTTGGAAAGTCAGTACGCAGCAAAGAGCAAGGCAGCTTTTGCTACTGAGCTACACACCAAATAAGGCACGAAGTACTCTCGTCCTGACGCTGACAGAGCCAGTGCCAGTGCCAGTGCTAGCGGCTACCGAACACACGAAAACTCATTTCACGGAATGCGATGTCAAATTGACGACAAGCTGTAGCAGCGGCTGTCTGTTAACAGCATCCATCGCCATGTAGGGTTGTAGGCGGGTAAGTGGGTTTGGTAGACAGGCAGTAGCCACAGCCGTACAATTACCTTACCCAACCCCAAAGAGGCTAAACGTCTGACCTCTTCTGTCACTCTTTGTCCACACACAGTAAGCGTAGTTTTGAGCTGCTGGTTTGACTTGGAAGCCAAACAATTACGACTATATGTGCATGTATGTGTGCATACATATGTGTTATTAATCAAACCACTACCGCTTTACAGCCAGCTTCCTTCCTGCCTACAACTTTAAATCGTTCAATCTCGCAATGTCTGTGGTGTGTGTGTGTGTGTGTGGTTGCGGAAACCCTAACCTTTGTCACACAGTTGGCGTGTTAATCAAAAGCAGTAACCACAAACCATTATTTTGGGCAGGTCGACTCAACTACCGCAGCTGTCATACCGTCGAGCTGTCGCATTGTTTGCAGCAGAGCTCATATGTGTCGAAGCAGGGCCGACGAGCGCTATACCCAAGCTTTGCTATGATGTCGGGGTATTTTTTGTTGTTGCTAATTTTTGTATGTATGTCTGTCTCGATGTTTTGTGAAGAATAAAAGCATATAACCACGGTCTTCCTGTCAACTACAATACAATGTCCGTTTATCTGTTTATCCCTTTATCTGCACAGCAATTCATCAGTCAGAGTTTATGAATGTCCAGTATATTAGATAGGGAGGCAAACGAAATAAACAGACTCACAAACAAATAAACAGTCAAACAATCGAATTCCTTAGTGTGTACATACATACGAGTATATGCTTGCATAACGACGGTGTACACAGATACATAGGGTCGCCTCTCAGCCGCCTGACTAGCCATTAAGGCATCCATTACATACGGTAGGTACGTATGTATGTACGTACGTCTGACAGGCTGCTCCCTACTTGGTATGCCCTGCGCGCCACAACTCTTTGCCTTTCAACCAAGCAGCCAACCAACTAACCACTTTCATAACGCTCGACGATGATGTGCTCGTCCTTCAATGTCCTCTCTGTTACGGCGGCAACGACCCGAAAACATCTGATGACAGCCAAATCTTCTTTTACCCCTACCCAAGGCAATTGCGCCCGCCATACATCTACATACATTGGGTGGAGGTATGTTATCACCAATGCTAAAGCTTTCTTTGCCGCCATTACAGTTATTATATTGTTGGTGTTGTTTTCGTTATTTGCTGCTTTCGTCGCTGTAAGATGGACATGATTTTGCTTCTTTTTTTTTCGTTATTTTACATCCACACACAATTCTTCCGTTCCACACCCGTCTCGTCTCGTCCCTGTGTCTCTCCTTCACATACACACACGCACACATTCGGTCTACAAAGCTTAGCGAAAAACGCGCGCCTCTAGCAAGCATACAACGGTCTCGTAATACAACACATAAAAGCAACAAAGTTGGAACACGCAAAATGGTCTGAATGTGAATGAAATGATACGCTTTGAATGGGAACGAAATAGAAGAATATGAAAAGCTCGCCAATCGTCTAAGCTTTCCGTTCACATACTCATACATATATACATATATATATATATATATATATATATATATGTATGCTTACAGTAGATAAATAATGCTTTTATATAAAAATGCTTGCATGTAATTGATAGTCCAAGGTGATTTTGCGCTCATCCACACAAAACTATGTTCCTACCTACATACATACATACACACATACCTATTTACTGTGTGTATATGTGTTTGTTAGTTTTGTGCTTGTGTAAGTAGGTTATAAAACGCCCACATACTTGCAGAGACTTCTTGTTATTTTAATTGTTGTTATTGTTATTTACTGCTTTTCTGCTTTACTGCTTTAATGCTTTTATGTAGTATTTTCGCAAGTGTTATTGTTGTTTCGGATGTTATTTGTCTTTGCGTTTGTAGCTTTTTCTAGCTTTCGTTTTGTTGTTTTGTTTGCTATTTTCTGCTTTTATTATTTTTTTTTTCTCTGTTTTATTGTTCTCCTCCTTTGCTATCATTGTTATTGTTCCCCAACGACTTTATGCTGCTGCTGCTGCTGCTGCCTGCCACTTTCATTCATACACATGCACACACTAACAGTCGCTGGCAGGCATGTACATTTGTATATATTTACGTTCGTGTGTTCACACAGTCGAGTGTAATAAAAGGGGTTTCCTCAAGCGACTAAGTATGCTTAGAAAGCGGGAGTATCCTGTTGGCCACAGTGATCTACACGGCGAAAATATTATTTGCCAGAAAGTTAATTTTTTTATTTCTTTTTGTCCCATAATAGTTCTATTGCATCATTTGCGAAGGAGTTAAGGCAGTAGTCTGCTTTAGAGGCTTCAAAAATTAAATTTTTTAAATCCCTTCTAAAATTATCCAAGAATATACAATCTTCAAAATTTCAGTGGTCAATGCAACATATTTTAGAAGCTAGAGCAGTTTTAGTGGCCGTGTATCAAATAGGTTCGAATGCTTGGACAGACTTTGAAGCGCGTTTTCTCGAAATTTTTCAATTTTTAAAAGTCTCAAAAAAAACAATTTTGGTGATAGCAAAAAGCAATATATGGCCGATCGAATTAATAATAGAGATATAGCTTCAGTATATAATTTGCGCTTTGTAGCCTCTGAAGCGATTTCCGGCCAAGCAC